TGTATAGCTTGTCGTTTCGTCGCGTGTGCACTGAGAACACGACATGGCTTTTTGTTCCTGTGCCTTGGAAATCGTTGGTTCGCTGCTTATAACGTTAGAGAGTAGACCAGGCGTCGGGCACAGGTCTCGGATTGTACACGCATCGAAGACAATGACAGGGATGGGTGAAACTTGTGCGGTTGGTGGAGTTACCGTTTCATAGACTAAATTGCACCCTCCGACAGTCTTTAAACTTGGAAACAGACGACATTAAGACAACTTATCCCCGAACCAATGCGTCTTAGGGCTTGAAGCAGTGAAACAGGTCCATTCTAGCTTGACTTGCCTGTGACAACGTTATCAGGTCGTAAAGTAAAAACCCAAAACTGGTAACACGTCCCGTCGGGCTACCCCAGGGCAACAGGAAGCGCACGATCTTGTGAGTTGCTCCCAAATGAGACACGATTGTGCCAAACACCCCACTCGGTTGGCCCAATGGCGGAGGCGTACAGGGCAGACGAAGTTGATGGTGGAGAGAAAATCGCGACCATCTGCAGAAGGAACTATTTTGGGTCCTGGGAGGAATACTCTCGAGCTCGTAGAGTAGGGCGGAGGGTAAACTGAATGGAAGCGTTCGATTCTCCGTCGGTATCAGTATCTCGAAGGCGTCGCTGCCTTCCACCATCTATCTATCTCCTTGCAAGCGCCAAGTGAACCTTGTATCAACAGGATATTGACTATGACGTACGGCAGCACCCGAGTGATGCAATCAAGGGCAATCGAACTTACACCTCGTTTACTTGTTTGGGTATTTCACAACACGACCTCGAGAATAGCCCCCTACCAGTGGCAATGCACAACGAACGATATATGCAAGACTTTATGACGGTATCCTTAAGAGAGGCACATATTCGCTGTTCGCTAGCAGATCTCTGCTCAGCTCTGGTCTGACGGCGCTACCTCTCGAAACCTTCAACGGTCTACTCAATCTCACAACATTGTGAGTGGGCGGGACATTAGCCTAGAGCTTCTTGTGGGATAGCGTAGACGCCAACTCATGTGAGTGGCATCGAATGTTCCCGGCCATCGGTTGGCGAAATAGCGCCGAGGAAACATTCCCCTACAACCATGGGAGCGTACCGCTTGACATGATGATCGCATAACTCCCCAGTCCGTCATGGTGGACGGTGAGAGCCCAATTGGTATGGCTTATGCGGTGCATGAGGTTCGAGTCGGCGAGTTTACGAACCCACTCATCGTGGTCACGATGGACTGGAAAACGTCGAAGGGAATTATCCATACTCTGCCCTAGCAGGTACGGTGTGTGAAGCTGTCTCTTGGCGGGGGACCAGTTTCCGTCGTCGACCTGTTGTTCATTGCGTGGCGGTTCGGCGAATACCGCAGTTGGATGCCCATGCCGGGAGCGAGCCCTACCGACTGCCAACCGCCCTAACTTACCCCTTTCCACGATACTATCGCATTCGATCGATATTCCGGTGCAAGCACGAGAGACACAGCCAAGACGACTCAACAAATCTTCACTGGCACACATATCGTTGTATACATGTTGAAAATCGTGCAACGGGTCGGACTGAGATCTACGGAATCGACGAAAAAATAACATATGGTGTCGTCCCCGTCTATTCTGAGTCACATGCATTTCGGCGAATGTCGACAATGAGCACCAAGGTGATATCGCTATTTGAGTGGTCCAATTTAAATAACTCAGAACGACACGCCCGTTTGGTCTTCTACTCGGTGCATGCAGGAGTTTTCTCACACGATTCTCTCACACCCCATCAATCCTTGTTCGCCGGCTGCTTGTTTTCACTGTACCCTCCTCGTTTCCTGGCCGGTCGACCGCAGCACGGCTGGGTGCGTTGGACCCAAGGATGAGTCAACCAGGGCCGGTACCTGTCGTGAGTGCAAAATGCTTCTCGTATCATAGGCATACATCTATCTCTCGTCATACATCTATCTCTCGCTCGTGACGTGAATACGGAGTCATCCGTTTCAAAGGCTCAATGGAAAGAAGCATCAGGAGCAACAAACTGTAGACGACTAGATAGTTGGTGTGTGCGAACTTGTTGTGCATGCGGTTAGTGTAAGTAGTCGAAATCATTTCCTGTAGGTTTGTGGGTGCTGCTGCCCTTCCTTGCGACTATGTGTACGGCCACCGACGGCTACATCCGACCCCTGCACATTCTATCGTACCAATATGTGGTGCTTGATTCTCGGCGACAGAGTGCGACGCTGTGTCGTCATATCCGGAGTGGACGACTTGCTCTCCTGGCACCGCGGGCTACACGTGCAGTAAGCAGTATTTTGTGCATCAAATTGTTCTACGGCCGCCGTTGTGGAGCTGATATACTGCTGTAGGGCGTGTATAGCAACCTCGTGTGAAACCTCGTGTGAAAAGTGGCCGGCTTTCGCACTCCAGGGATCTTTGTTGCTGTCATTGGTAGGCAACAAAAAATCCAACATGGGAATATCACCATATATACACAGACAGAGAGATGATGAGGTGACTGTCGCGACCACTCGCGCTAAGTGGCGCAGTCTAGGAGGTGGAATAGGGGATGAGGCCGTTACGTGCGAGGCCACGGATTGTTGTTGACATAGCTCATTTTTCGGTCGAAGCAACAGTTTTCGAACGCACATCTCACGTTCCTTTGCACCGCTTGTTCGCTCAGACCTACCTTGTTAGGAAAAGCCTGGGTGGCGTGAGCTGGAAAGACGCGGCACCAACGACGTTCTGTAAGCCACAGGGCCCGTACTTTGATCAAGGCACCAATGCACCATGCGTGATTGGAAGGCCCAGTCAGCCTGAAGAAGAGCTGTTTGCGACCAAAACGAACATGTCAAACTCTTCACAATTGTGGTTTGAAACGCGACACATCCTAGCGTTCGGATGCTGGGGAGGCAAGGCCGGTAAGGAAGCGGCCAGGATAATCCACAGCATTACACAGTAGACCATAGCAATTGCCTACCTGTGGTTCGAAATCACATCATCATCAGACAAGAACCAACGAGGATGTTGACACCCGGAAACGTGTAGACGACTGGTACAATATGTATGTAGGTTGACCACAAGACCCGCAGTACAAACTACTGGGTATTCGTCAATGAGTTCGTATCATGTCTTTACAGTCGTCGTCCTACCAGGAAGCGACGGACATTGAGAACACAGGAGAGAAGGGGGGGGGCATTGGTATTGTAGAGCCACCTCCGGAACACCGCGAGTCAAGTTACCCCGCATATGTATTCCCGGACCGACACGAGAACCATCACAGCAGATATTTTTTGGTTGAACTAGATGCCGTTTGACAACTGCAGAGTACGACGTTCACTGCGCCTACATGTGTATATCGATGTTCTGGCGGCATGTTTTCGGTTTGAATTCCACCTCTGTTGGGTACTGGCGAAGCCAGTCAGGATCCTGTATACGCAGCCAGTATACTGGATCCGATCAGTACACGCGTCCCGCGGGGAAGCCGCGTGGTCGCGGCGCAGCCGCGACCATTGGCCCCCCGGCTGGTGAGGGGTCCCGCTGGAGGCGCCCCGCCTAAGGCCCTTTTTTACACGATTTGGCTTCGCAATCAGCATTTTTTTGCGTGATGTTGGGCCATCCGATGATAGAAGAGGCAATATCGCGGGGAAAACAATAGAAACCTGAGGTACAACGCCCAAATTTATTGGTTTTCGGCACGAACGAGGAAATGTGGCACAATTTTTTAACTTTGTAATGCCCATAAACTCCAAGATCGTGGGAGACGTATGTATGCATGCACACGATGAGAAATGACTAGCATGATGAATTGTGAATAACATTCAATGTTCCATAGTTCCACCAAACCCACCGGTTGGAGAAATAAAAAATGCACGCAACGAAGCAGAAAATCATAGAAAACCGGGAGCCTCCCGCAAAAGAGAAAACAAGAAAACAACGACACGGCAGCCCTGAACGTGACCAAGAAACCTAAAAGAAACCACCAGCTAGAGTGCTGCTACCTGCTGTGCAAACAGCAAACACAATCAAGCGCAATAATTAGTCTACAGTAGTTCCACCGGTTGTCCCCCAATTTTGGGGCGGGGTAATAAAAAAAAGGGGGAGCCCAAACGATTTGGGCGACAAACAAATATGCGTTGGAAAGCTCTAGCCAGCAGCGTTCGAATAAGCCACTAAACAGCGGTTGGTTCCTTCTCAATAACAAGTTATGGGCCTATTACCATCGTTGCGGGGGACACTTCACCTTACAAAATCCACGATTTCTCGACAACCCGGGCGAAACAACCGAAAAAAATTGCAGAATAATGAAGGTCTCTTCCTGTTCTATTTTGTTGAATTGGTTCCGTTTCCGAACCTTTTTGGGCTCACCGCAAAACAAATTGCGCCGCCAATTTTTCAAAAATCGTCGCACATCACACCAACGGCCGCGCTCACGCGCTGCCCCAAAGACTTCGTGGTTCACGCCCGATGTCTTTTCAGCTACGCCCTAAGCCGCTGGAGAGCATCAGGGCAGGCTTGGCTCAACGCGGTGGTGAGCTTCTCAGTGTAAAGCAAGTGCAGGGTGCCAAACAGTATCGGTTGGAGGTGACAGCGGACCTGGGCGGAGTCACCACGCGTTGGCGCACCGACTGCATCAAGTATCCGAAGTCCAACAAGAAGGCCCGTGACTGGGCGGCCGAAGCGGCCCTCGCTGCTGTTTGGCGGCCATCTCATTGTGACCTCTATGCCACACTCTCGAAAGACACGAGCAAAGTCGAACCGGCGCCTCCAAGAACCAAACGGCCACGAGACTGCTGTCAGCAAGATCTTCTTTCTTGCGGGCGCGACCACTGCCACACACCACCTGCAAAGCGTGCTGCACCTGCAGGGGCTGGCCGACCGAAGGGAATCCTCGGCCAGAAGAGGTTGCATGAGATGATGGCAACATACAAGGCGCGCGTGGAGCAAGGTCAGCTGGAGTTTGCTGACATGCCTGTGCGGGACCTCTGAAAGGGGGCTTTGGATCCCAGGGATGACCGTGTTGGGGGGCAAGAAGGGTCAGGAGCCTAACCCGAAGATGAGCATGCCGGCGGTGTTGCGCGCGCAAAAGGATTTCGCGAACGTCGACTCTAGTCTAGAGGTTCTCTTGAAGCGCCACGGAGGGGTTGCGCTCATGCTTCCAAAGTTCCATTGCGAGTTGAACCCGATCGAGCTTGTGTGGGGTAGATCCAAGTGGTGGGTCCGCAGGAACTGCAAATACACTATCGCCTGCATGCGAGAGAACGTTTCCAAGAGCTTCAGGGTAGACAACTTGAGCCTAGACATCGTTCAAAAGTTCTGCCGGAAGGTGGCCAACTTCCACGCGGTGTACGACGCAGGGCTTACGGGCGCCGAGGCGGTAGATGCGCAAGAGAAATGCAAGTCGCACCGTAAGCCGGCTCCATCCGAATACATTAACCCCAAGTAACGTATGCTAAAAGTCGGTACGTTGTGTATGGGGTTCGAAAGAATGACCTCAACATTTGCTTCTGTCCACAGAACTCTTCGGTAGGGTACTGGGAGAATACAGAATGTTCTGTGAAATCTCTGTAGGGTACTGGGCGAGTACCGAATGTTCTGTGAAATATCTGTAGGGTACTGGGGTCTGACAGATCTTCTTTGTAGTGATCTGTCTGTACTTACAGAGGGAAAATACCGCCGGTACCCATCTGTGAGGACCCTACAGAACGGACCTGTGCTTCTGTCGGTGTCGGTTGTCCACGAAGTTTGTTCTCCGTTTTTTTTTTCGACCGGCTGCGTTTCCCTCCCGGTCGATACGATCGGTAGTATTGGGCAGGCGATGCGCTGTATGTAGAAGACTAGTATTTTGGCAATCGTAAAACGTAGTGCGAGGGAGTGTTATCGAGTGTAAATACAGGGTTTTCCCAACGATGAAGCGAAAACAACGAAATGTCAAGCGTTGAACGATAAGTTTTGCGACCAGAAAAGGGGGGTACAATCTCNATGTCAAGCGTTGAACGATAAGTTTTGCGACCAGAAAAGGGGGTTACAATCTCTTGTGCCCCCCTTTTAATGTGTATATCTGCTTGTTAAGTGTTTTTTTTTTTTTTTTGAGGGCGCCATCGCGTTCGCCTGTTCAAACCCCGCCGATATCAACCAAGAACAAAAAAAAACGGCATGATTACGATAGTGGTTATCGAGATATTGGACGAAAAGTTTGATCCCCTCCCTCCCAAAAACGCCTGGAAAAACCTATACGAAAACCACGAATTCTCAGAAACGTTTCAAATCGATTTGGTCCCTGAACAACTCTTGTGGCATTTGTGATGGAGATCAATACTAAAATATATATATATATATATTATTGATGAAGTTATGGCCGGTCAATTGAAATCGGCGGGACAACCGGTGGAACTGTAGTCTAGAAAAGCAAAACAAAAAAAGCAGAAACGCCAAGAAAAGGGGCGCAACAAACGAACCAGCCTGTGCTGACGCAGCAGCCCCTGCATCATCAGCAACACTGTCGGGGTCTGCAGCAGACGACGAGCTACCAGATGAGACAGACCGAGGACAGACCTATCCATAGTCATGTGGTCTGCGTAGCTGTGTGGTTCGTGTGGGGTGTGCGGTCTGTCTCCTTCAGCCTTCAGCAGGCGGCCTGATGTTGTCAGAAGAGGTCTGCGGTAATAGATGGGTTTCCGCTGGCTCTTCAGGCGTAAAAAGGGACGTACGTAAAGATGCTTGTGTACTGGCGTACTGTCTACAATGGTTGGCAGTGCTAACAAGCACTGGCAGTACGCGACTGGTCCAGTACCCAACCCTAGCATCTACAATATCGGCATGTAGGTCAGGATGGAATTGGCGGCCACCCGACACGTGGGCGAACCTAAGGAAGGATAGGTTCGAGTTTCAGCAGTTTCACATCTTTTTTTGTTTCCGCGCGGCGTCGTATGTGCCGGGTTTTTGCGACCACGGGCTCCCCATTTTTGTGGACTATAAGAGCTAATGTGAGAAACAACAACAAACAACATCTACTCCAATGAGACAGCCGGCCAGCACAGACATCTTGGCGTGATCTACCCTCTGTCTCGAGAAAAATAACCGGAAGGTTCAGGTTCCATTTTTGCATTCTGCTTTCAGTACATACAGCTGTTGTTGTTGTTGTTGTTGTTTCTCACATTGGCTCTAGTCCAGAAAAAAAAATGTGGAGCCCGTGGTTTCAAAACCCGGCACATACGACGCCGCGGGGAAACAAAACAAAACTAGGGTACAAACCACTCGGAAAAAATGATAAAAAGAAAATAACAGGTACCGCACTGACCGAGAAAAAAGCCCTCGGAAACCAATAAAAATATATAAATAATATAAGAAAGGAGACGCTTCCCACACCCGCCTAAAGAAAAAATCAAAGGGTAACGTACCAGCAAAGTGGGTGGACCGGAAAAATGCCGGTCAAATACAGAACGCGCCACCACTCAAGAATGGAGTAAAAGAACATCTGCTCAGTTCCGACGTGGTATTATGTACTGTAAGAACAAGAACCCGCCCTTGCAGAGTACCAATGCGCATACAGATAAGAACGGAGCCCCAAACGCGTCGGCTGCAAGATAAGAACTCAGGAGGCTGGGGGTGACCAAAACAGCAAAAGTTAGTTTAAGACTCGAGCCGGGGGGGGAGAGGACCTCGAGATAAAATGCTTGTATGTGCGGAGGGGGAGGGCGTACTCTCTCTCATGTTTCGCATGCCTTAGCGGTTAGACCATTGACCAACCTCCTCGAGAGGACGCATCAATGCTCCAACAGGACCAATCAGTGATGCCAATCGTTCCTTCCCACTTCGAAGTACCTTGTCAAACGTGGCTAAATGTTCTCCCGAGTCGACTACCCTGTCGATATCACTTCCCGCCTTTTCAACCCACTTCCTATGCCCCAGTACAGCTACAGTCTTCTCCTGGCTATTCCATGCCTCAAACACCTCCTCCCTGTACCTTTCCTTCTACATGTTCAACTCAGTCATGTAGATTTCTCTGTCCTTGTCGCCCAACACGGACGTTTCGCAATGACATGAACCCGGTCTTCGCACTCGGAGCCGCATTCACATTTGTCTTCATCGTCTACCTTCCTGAGTCTTCGTCCACGTTCTCAGAAGCCGTTTTCCCCAGTCCTAAGTTTGACCTTCGGCTTTCTCCTTGCATTCATTGGTCCATGTAGGTATTCCTTCTTTGCCAACAAGTGGCTCGATAATGTTTTCCCATCGGTATCACTTTCCCCCTTGTAAAACCATTGCCTATGCCTACCGTCTTGTCCTGGCTATTACATTCGTCAAACATCTCCCTGCATCTTTTCCTTCTACTTTTTTTTCTAGCTAGCTCAGTCATGTACATTTCCCTCTCCTTGTACCACGGACATTCCGCACGTACATGAACACGGTCTTCGCTCTCGGAGCCGCAACCACATCTGGATTTGTCGTCTTCATCATTTACCCTCCTTAACCTTCGTCTACGTTCTCAAAGGCCAATATCTCCTGTCCTAGGTTTGACCTTCAGCTCTGTCTCTGCATACATTAGCCCATCCATGTAGGCATATACTCCTTAGACTACATCTATTCCTTGTTAAACATTCCGTACACGTCGAGACCCTCCGCATCCTTGTTTTTTTTAGCAAGATTCTGTGTTCCGCAAAAGCAACAACAGATATCTTCTCCTTGAACCCCTGTAGACCTCCCCTCTGCAGTGTATCACCTTCGTCAATTTCGACCCCCTTCCGTGCGTCATCTGCAACGTTAACTCACTCCGTAGGTTGGTACACCAGTTCTTCTTGTTTGCCCACTTTGCCTCCTAAGAATTTCTCGGCAGCCTCTGCTCTCCCATACCGTACATGCGGCACTGCCATCTACAGGGCGATTTTACGGCTACATTGTACTCTTTCAGCAGCAGTAGTGTCTCGTGATGAAATCCACCCAGAGAGACCTGTCGGTGTCCTCTGCATAGGGCAATCGGTCTAGAAATATGAACAAGAACCCCGTTTACCATAGGTGGATACCTGCTCCAAATAAGAGCTTGGAAAATAAGAACATGTGCTCGGTTGGAGGTAACCAATAAGCGTCGAGCCTCAAGCTAGATATATATGTGGTTCGTAAGTGCTGTAATGCCGGTTGCCCGCTATAATGCCGGTGAAATCGGCTGGCACAACTCCAAGTCTGTATATATGAGGCCGACCCCTCTTTAATGCCGGTTCGGGGGGTTGGTGGCCCGTGAATAATGTCGGTTCTCAAGATTGCTTGCACACACACTGCACAGACAGCATCAGTGGTTTGGTTGTTTGTTCGGTGGAACCTGTTGGTAGGTGTGTCGGGTACGACGTTTTAGCTGAACACGAGCAGCCTGGCCACGTTTTGTTTGCATTTCCTCTGTTGCGCTTGTGTTTGTTTTCTTGTTCTATTCCATGTGGGGGCGAGTGTTCGTCGGTTACGGGGCACGTACATGGGGGTGTTCAGATGTTATATTTTCGTACTGTTTGTTGTTTTGCTTTCTCTCTCGATATTTGCTTGCGTAGGATAGAAGTATTACATTAAGCGTATTGTTGCGAGTGACGGGGAGGCACCAGAGGTGAAAATTATTCGTCAAGGAAGAGTTCGTGCACAGACACTGCTCTGCAACAAATATAGTAAAGGTTATGAGGTAGAATCAAAGATGAATGGATGGATCAGCTAACATGCGGCCCTTCGATGCACACGCCTCTGAGATCTGCTCGATCGCGGAATGCTTACCAAACCTCCTGTCACATCATCCACTGTCATATTTCCCCATCACCCGATGCTTGTAGTGTGTGCTATTCATACACGTTTTCGTATTGACTTACTCGACGGTTTCCTATACAGTGGGGGTACCGGCATTAGAGCGGAATTCTCACGCCTGAAGTAATACCGAAAGTGGAAGGTTGTGTTGTACAACCTGGTGTTTAGTGAGAACGGTTAGAAAGATCAAAGGGCACCGTAGGTAGGAGACCCTGGTATAGGCAGGTATTACGGAAATGCATAAAGGCAAAGGAGAGATGCACCTTGCTCACAACAGAAGAAACATCTGAACGAAAAGAGAAAGACAACAAGCAAACAAGAGGAGGAGTAGCAGAGAGTACAGAGGAGGGAGAAGAAGGAAGTGAGTGTACGGAGGGGAGGAGACAGACAGAGAACAGAGCAAGAGCATCGTCGGTTCGTTTTTCAACGTCGACCAACCCGGCGCCTGAGCGCGGGGGCCGGGATCCTGCTGCAGAGCGCGGGGTCCCATGCCGAATACGGTAAGGCTTGGGACGTTGACACCGATGTGGCGCCGCGACGAGGAGGAAGAAGAGCAAGGCAGATGGCAGGGCCAAGGAGGGGGAGAGGGCGGGGGCTCGCCGCAGAGGGGCGGAGGTGAGAGGAGGAGGTCGTTGAGTCAGGGTGAGCGACGGGTGACCAGTGTAGGGCACGGGGACTTGGAGGATTGAGTCACGTCTATCGCCGTCCGAGTACTCAGGGGGGAGAGCGCGCCACTCAAGGTCTAGGTAGACGCGTTCCACTTCCCCAATGGTATTTAGGCGCGCCTAGTCTACTTACGTCAGCCGCGGCGGCCCATCACGCGCGCAACATTTCCCATCCTCACACGGCNAGCAGCAGCCGCAGCACCAGCAACAGCACCAGCACCGGCAGAGCCCGCCATACCAGCGACAGCAGCAGCGGCCGCAGCAGCAGCAACAGGAGACGCCACCGCCCCCTCCGCCACGGCGGCAGGCGCAAGGGGTCATGGATCAGGAAGGCGTCGGCGGTGCGGTGGGTGCGCCGGCGGCAGGCGCGGGGTGGGGGGTCAACGGCCAACAAGGGTGGAAGGGGTGGAGGGCCGTCGCAGCAATCGCGACAAGGGCCGGTAGGGGAGAACGCGGGACGGGGGGTGGGGGTAGCTACTGGGGAGGCGTCGGCGGCGGGGCAGGGGCAGGG